AATTTAGTGTGGAGCAGTTTTACAATTTTAAAGTCATTTTGTTACCCTGCATATATTGCAGATTTGCTCTCAGCAGAAACTGCTATGGAAATGTTTCCAAACTCTGGATGTTGATCTCACCATTTTACTAAAAGAAGGAAAAGAAAAAAAAAACAATTTATTGACCAGACTATAGGTAAACAGTATGCTGTGATGGTAGAGAACATTAAAAGGAATACTTTAAAGGTTATAAAGATAAGTTAATTTGTCAGACAAATGTATCCTCTTAAGGCCTGAGAGTACAGAAATTATCATGTACTATATCCCAACAATAACCCAACTGTAGGAGGTACAAGATGGAGCCCACAAGCAAACTAGACTGGAGCATTTCCCCTGTAGTGCATATTTCTCGTTTTAGAACTGCATTCAGAAGTATAGTGTTAGGCCTGATTCACATCAATGCAGTTTGCGTTTTGTCCATTTTGCTGTGCTTTTTGTGGTGCGTTTTGCTTTGACTTTTTTTGATGCAGTTTGGGTTCTCTCTTTTGTTTTTGGGCCAACTTGTCGCTGGGCAGATTAAAAAACGCAAAACACATCAAAAATGTGTCAAAAACATACATTTGTTTTTTGCAGCATCTCCATGGAGGTCTACTGAACCAAAAAACGCAACATTTTGCATTTAAAAAAAAGTCTCTGACCCTTTCCAAAAAAACAGTGGCTCTAAAAAGCACAGAGGTGAACATGTCCCAAAGGACACCATGTTAAGTGGACTGTAGTGCGTTTCTGCAAAAAGCACTAAAAACACATATTATACAGGATTTATATAGTGCCAACAGTTTGCTCAGCGCTGTACATTATAATGGGAGACAGTACACGAGACAGTACAGTAACAATATGATTCAATACACGAGGGGTTCGAGGGCCCTGCTCCTTGGAGCTTACAATCTAGAAGGGAGAGGATAGTGGTACAGGAGGAAATAGCTGTGGGGGATGGAGTGGTAGGAAGAGTGGAGGAGTTCAGTAATTAGCTGAGGGCAGGGTAGGCTTCCCTGAAGAGATAGGTTTTCAGAGTGTGCCTAAAAGGTTAGGAGAGTAGGTGATAGTCTGATGGATTGGGGTAGGGAGTTCCAGAGGATGGGGGAAGCCCTGGAGAAGTCCTGGAGATGGGCATGGGAGGAGGAGACCAGGGAACTAGAGAGTAGGTGGTCTTGTGAGGAGCAGAGAGTACGTTTTGGGTGGTATTTGGATACCAGATCGGTGATGTAGTTTGGGGCAGTATTATGAACAGCTTTATACGTCAATGTTAGTATTTTGAATTTTATTCATTGGGCAATCGGAAGCCAGTGGAGGGATTGGGAGAGAGGGGTGGCGAATACAGAGCGGTTAGTAAGGTGGATGAGTCTGGCCGCAGCATTCAAGATAGACTGAAGCGGGGATAGCCTGCGGTGAGGTAAGCAAGTGAGGGAGTTACAGTAGTCAAGTCGTGATATAATGAGGGAGTGAATGAGTTGCTTAGTGGTTTCGGGGTTAGGAACGGACGTATTTTGGAGATGTTGCGGAGGTGAAGTCTACATGAGTTTGTCAGCAAATGGACCTGGGGCTGGAAGGACAGATTGGAGTCTAGGATAACACCTAGTACTCTGGCTTGAGGGGAGGGACTGATGGCGGTGTTGTTGGTCTTGATGGAGCAGTCGGGGGGGGGGGCATTGGCTGGGGGGAAAACTAGGAGCTCAGTATTGGAAAGATTTAGCATAGGAGTGAACCAGGCCTTACTTGAACTGCATTCCAAGATTTGCTTGTTTTCAGGTGAGAGAACTTGCAACAATATAGGACTTTACAAAACGTCTCAGAAATCTTTTGGTAATGTCCTCATGTTATGTAGTTTGAATACTATGTCAAATATATAATTATTTATCATTGTAAAAGAAACATATTTCACACACATTAGTCCCTAACCTTGAGGGTTAGGGACTGATGTGAATGTACAATATATATGTAAAGCACTGTGTAAATTTCCAGCACTATATAAGTACCTGAAATAAATAAAATACATAGAGGTTGCACAGGCAGGCAGTCCAACGCGTCCAGGATTGCACATCAATATGTGCCATTGCCAGAAGGTTTGCCTTGTCTCCCAGCACAGTCTCATGAGCATGGAGGAGATTCCAGGAGACAGGCAGTTACTCTAGGAGAGCTGGACATGGCCGTAGAAGGTCCTTGACCCATTTTTGCTACTTCGTGCAAGGAGGAACAGGATGAGCTCTGCCAGAGCCCTACAACATGACCTCCAGCAGGCCACTGGTGTGAATGACTCTGACCAAACAATCAGAAACAGACTTCATCAGGGTGGCCTGAGGGTCCAACATCCCCCAGTGGGCCCTGTGCTCCCTGCCCGGCACCATAGAGCTCAATTGGCATTTGCCACTGAACACCAGAATTGGCAGGTCCGCCATTGGCACCATGTGCTTTTCACAGATGAGAGCATGTTCACCCTGAGCACATGTGACAGATGTGAAAGAGTCTGGAGAAGCTGTGGAGAACGTTATGCTGTCTGTAACATTGTTCCGCATGACTGTTTTGGTAGTGGGTCAGTGATAGTCTGAGGAGGCATATCCATGGAAGGAAGAACAGACCTCTAAAGGCTAGACAATGGTGGCACCCTGACTGCCATTAGGTATCAGGACAAAAACCTTGGACTCATTGTCAGACCCTACGCTGGAGCAGTGGGTCCTGGATTCCTCCTGGTGCACAACAATGCCTGGCCTCATGTGGCGAGAGTATACAGGGAGTTCCTGAGGGATGAAAGAATTGATTCCATTGAATGGCCCCCACGCTCTCCTCACCTAAATCCAATAGAACACCTTTGGGAGATCATGTTTCGGTCCATCTGGCGCCGCCAAGTTGCACCTCAGACTGTCCAGGATGTCCTGCTCAGTGATGCCCTAGTCCAGATCTGGGAGGAAATCAACCAAGACACCATCCGTTCTCTCATTAGGAGCATCCATACAAGCACGTGGGGGCCATACAAACTACTGAGTAACATTTTGAGTTGCTGCAATTAAATTTCAGCAAAATGAACTAGCCTGCTGCATCATTTTTTCAATTTGATTTTCTGGGTGTCTTTGAATTCAGTCTTCTGTAGGTTGATCATCTTCATTTCCATCAAACGATGGGGCATACTTAAGTTTCTAACACATTACCCAGTCTATACCATATAAGTGTTCCTTTAATTTTGATGAGCAGCGTGTATGTGTGTGTGTATATATACAGTGGGGCAAAAAAGTATTTATTTAGTCAGCCACCAATTGTTGAAGTTTTCCCACTTAAAAAGATGAGAGAGGCCTGTAATTGGCATCATAAGTAGACCTCAACTATGAGAGACAAAATGAGAAAAAAAATTCCAGACAATCGCATTGGCTGATTTGGAAAGAATTTATTTGCAAATTATGGTGGAAAATAAGTATTTGGTCAATATCAAAAGTTCATCTCAATACTTTGTTATATATCCTTTGTTGGCAATGACAGAGGTCAAACGTTTCCTGTAAGTCTTCACAAGGTTGGCACACACTGTTGCTGGTATGTTGGCCCATTGCTCCATGCAGATTTCCTCTAGAGCAGTGATGTTTTGGGGCTGTCGCTGGGCAACACGGACTTTCAACTCCCTCCAAAGGTATTCTATGGGGTTGAGATCTGGAGACTGGCTAGGCCACTCCAGGACCTTAAAATGCTTCTTACGAAACCACTCCTTCGTTGCCCGGGTGGGTATGTTTGGGATCATTGCCATGTTGGAAGACCCAGCCACGTTTCATCTTCAATGCCCTTGCTGATGGAAGGAGGTTTGCACTCAAAATCTCACGATACATGGCCCCAGTCATTCTGTCCTGTACATGGATCAGTCGTCCTGGTCCCTTTGCGGAGAAACAGCCCCAAAGCATGATATTGCCACCCCCATGCTTCACAGTAGGTATGGTGTTCTTTGGATGCAACTCAGCATTCTCTCTTCCAAACACGATGAGTTGCGTTTCTACCAAACAGTTCTATTTTGGTTTCATCTGACCATATGACATTCTCCCAATCCTCTTCTGGATCATCCAAATGCTCTCTAGCAAACTACAGACAGGCCCCGACATGTACTAGCTTAAGCAGAGGGACACGTCTGGCACTGTAGGATCTGAGTCCCTGGCGGCGTAGTGTGTTACTGATGGTAGCTTTTGTTACGTTGGTCCCAGCTCTCTGCAGGTCATTCACTAGGTCCCCCCGTGTGGTTCTGGGATTTTTGTTCACCATTCTTGTGATCATTTTGACCCCATGGGGTGAGATCTTGCGTGAAGCCCCAGATCGAGGGAGATTATCAGTGGTCTTGTATGTCTTCCATTTTCTAATTATTGCTCCCACAGTTGATTTGTTCACACCAAGCTGCTTGCCTATTGCAGATTCAGTCTTCTCAGCCTGGTGCAGGTCTACAATTTTGTTTCTGGTGTCCTTCGACAGCGCTTTGGTCTTCACCATAGTGGAGTTTGGAGTGTGACTGTTTGAGGTTGTGGACAGGTGTCTTTTATACTGATAACAAGTTCAAACAGGTGCCATTGATACAGGTAATGAGTGCAGGACAGAGGAGCCTCTTAAAGAAGAAGGTACAGGTCTGTGAGAGCCAGAAATCTTGCTTGTTTGTAGGTGACCAAATACTCATTTTCCACCATAATTTGCAAATAAATTCTTTCCAAATCAGCCAATGTGATTGTCTGGATTTGTTTTCTCATTTTGTCTCTCATAGTTGAGGTCTACCTATGATGCCAATTACAGGCCTCTCTCATCTTTTTAAGTGGGAGAACTTGCACAATTGGTGGCTGACTAAATACTTTTTTGCCCCATTGCATGTATATATATATTACACATATATACACACATACAAACACACACACATTATATTGCCAAACGTATTGGAACACCCCTCCAAATCATTGAATTCAGGTGTTCCAATCATCTCAATGGCCACAGGTGTATAAAATCAAGCACCGAGCATGCAGACTGCTTCTACAAACATTTGTGAAGGAATGGGTCACTCTCAGGAGCTCAGTGAATTCAAGCGTGGTACGGTAATAGGTTGCCACCTGTGCAATAAGTCCATCCATGAAATTTCCTTGCTACTAAATATTCCATGGTCAGCTGTTAGTGGTATTATAACAAAGTGGAAGCAACTGGGAAAAACAGCAACTCAACCACAAAGTGGTAGGCCACGTAAAATGACAGAGCAGGGTCAGCGCATGCTGACGAGCACAGTGAGCAGAAGTTGCCAACTGTCTGCAGGGTCAGCAGCTAAAGACCAATAAACTTCATGTGGCTTTCAGATTAGCACAACAGTGCGTAGAGAGCTTCATGAAATGGGTTTCCATGGCCGAGCAGCTGCATCCAAGCCTTACATTACCAAGTGCAATGCAAAGCGTCGGATGCAGTGGTGTAAAGCACGCCGCCACTGGACTCTAGAGCAGTGAAGAAGTGTTCTCTGGAGTAATGAACCATGCTTCTCTGTCTGGCAATCCCGTGGACGTGTCTAGGTTGGCATTTGTCAGGAGAACGGTACTTGCCTGACTGCATTGTGCCAAGTGTAAAGTTTAGTGGAGGGGGAATTATGGTGTGGGGTTGTTTTTGAGAGGTTGGCCCCTTAGTTCCAGTGAATTAAACTCTTAAGACATCAACCTACCACTACAGTTTGAACAATTTCATGCTCCCAACTTTGTGGGAACAGTTTGGGGATGGCCACTTCCTGTTCCAACATGACTGTGTACCAGTGCACAAATTAAGGTCCATAAAGGACATGGATGAGCAAGTTTGGTGTGGAGGAACTTGACTGGCCTGCACAGAGTCCCCAACCTGATAGAACACCTTTGGGATGAATTAGAGCGGAGACTGCGAGCCAGGCCTTCTCGTCCAACATAAGTGCCTGACCTAAAAAATGTTCTTCTGGAAGAATGGTCAAACATTCCCATAGACACACTCCTAAACCTTGTGGACATCCTTTCCAGAAGAGTTGAAGCTGTTATAGCTGTAAAGGGTGAGCCAACTCAATATTGAACCCTACAGAGTAAAACTGGGATGCCATTATTATTATATTTTTATACAGGATTTAAATAGCACCAACAGTTCCACCTGGCAGTACTAGGGTCATTGGTTCGAATCCCAGCCACGGCACCACCTGCCTGGAGTTTGCATGTTCTCCCTGTGCCTGCGTGGGTACTCCGGTTTCCTCCCATACTCCAAAGACATGCTGGTAGATGAATTGGATCCTGTCTAAATTGGACCTAGTATGTGTATGTATGAATGTGAGTTAGGGACCTAAGATTGTACGCCCCTTGAGGGTTAGGGACTGATGTGACTGTACAATATATATATATATATATGTAAAGCGTTGAGCAAATTGACGGCGCAATATAAGTACCTGAAATAAATAAATAACAGTTTGCGCAGCACTTTACAATATTAAAGTTCATGTGCTTGTAAAAGCAGTCGTGCCAATACCTTTGGCAATATAGTGTATAATATATATGCAAAGCACTGCGTAAATTGATGGCGCTATATAAAGTAACTGTAATAAATAAATCCAGGTGACAGAAACAGTCTTTAAACCTGATAGAGATCCCAAACCTTTCCTGCTTTCTCCAAAGAAAAAAATTGTTTTGGTTGAATATAGGCTTTAATTTACATCAAGGATTTTTATTAGATTTCAACTGCAAAATTTTAAAACATTCTAACAGTATATCAGTAGTCAAAGTAACTATTTTCCAGTTTTTGTTGGGCCCGCTTTTCTTTTGCTAGATGTTTTAACATGAGTAAAAAATAAGAGATTTCCAAAATTGCTCAATAGCTGTGCATGAATAATAAGTACAGTCACAAATGGAGTCACTGTGGTTCTCAAAAGCCAACATTATGCAATTCGCAAAAAAAATTCCATCAGTTATATGGTTTAACACTGGATCAAGTAAAGATTTCATGTAGGTAGGTATCCCCTGAAGCAGCTGAACAGTAACAGGGGAAATGTTTGAAAAAGATAGGAACCCCACATGTGTCTACATACAGTTGTGCACAAAAGTTTGCGTACCCTCGGACGATTGGTAATAGTATGTACCATTCTTAAAGAAAATATGAATTAGGAGGCAAAACACATTTCTTTTATTTCTTATGGAATTCATATTCAACTGTAGGTCATAACAGAATGGCACAATCATAAAACAAAACATGGCAACAAGCAAACAAATGAAATGACCCCTGTTCAAAAGTCTGCATACCCTTAGGTCTTAATACTGTGTATTGCCCCATTTAGCATCAATGTTTTTTTTAATAGTCTTTTGTAATATTTGTCTATAAAGGCCCTGAATTCTTATCGGTGGTATAACTGCCCATTCATCTTGGAAAATGCCTCCTGGTCATGAAAAGTCTTTGGTCATCTTGCATGAACTGCACATTTGGGATCTCCCTAGAGTGGCTTTATGATAATAGGGTCAGGAGACTGTGATGGCCACTCCAAAACCTTCACCTTTTTCTGCTGTAACCACTGGAAGGCAGCTTGGCCTTGTGCTTAGGGTCATTGTTGTCCTGGAATGTCCAAGAGCATCCCATGCACTGCTTTTGTGCAGAAGAAAGCAAATTGTCTGTCAGTATTTTTTTTATAACATGCTGCATTCACTTTGCTATTACTTATCACAAGATTCTCCGTGCCTTTAGAGCTCACCCCCCCCCCAAAAAAAAAAACCCATTAGTGAGCCACCACCATGCTTCACAGTGGGGATGGTATTCTTGTCGCTATAGGTCTTGTTGACCCCTCTCCAAACAAAGCGCTTATAGTTGTGACCATAAAGCTCTATTTTGGTCTTGTCACTCCAGATTACAATGTGGCAGAAGCTGTGGAGCGTATTAACGTGTCGTCGGGCATATTGTAACTGTGGTTCTTTCTGGCAACTTAACAATGCAGCACATTTTTACTCAAGTTTCGGCATATTGTATTGCTTGAAACAACCACGCTGTGTTTTTCCAGAGCAGCTTGTATTTCTCCTAAGGTTATATGTGGTGTTTTCAAACAATTATTCTTGCAGTTGTGGCTGCAATCCTTTTTGGTCTACCTGACCTTAGCTTGGTATCCACCCCATAAAATCTCTGAAACCCAGACAAAAATGTATACTTACCTGGCCATAATATGAGCTGTGTGGGGTTCTGTCGACAACACCTGGCGCAACAAAAGTAAACTTAAAGATCGACTGATTCAGAAGGAAAATTGTCGGTCAAAGTGACTATATCCTAGCAGACTGGTGCTTCAGCTGCCTGAATATAATAACCATCAACTCAGAAATTTTGGATACAGCATGTCTGTAAATGTTTGGAAAGCTTTTATCATCTTGACTGTTGTTTCTGGAACCAAAAGTGAAGATAAATCTTGCAAAGTGAGGGGAATTCCCCTCTTACTTGTCACTGAAACAGGTGTCCCCATTGCAAGTTTTCCCATTAAACTTTCTTCTGTTGTCAATTGTAAAATTTTGGATTTGCCATCACATTCTGCCCCAGTGATCATGAAGGTGAAACTACCTAGAGGTACACAGACCTGATAGGTGTTTTAACACTCTCCCACCCATCTAAAACTAAAAATATACAGCTTTAGGCCCCATGCACACTGGGCTTAAACAGAAAAAACCCCAGTTCCTTGGCATAAAAAAATGCTGATATAGAGTGTTTTTGTACACAGTTTAGGCGGGTTTATTCTTTTTTTCTGCCAGAAAGCTACAATCAAAAACGTAAACCAGAAGGGTTTTTTTCCTGCCTGTATAAATATGCCTCTAATTGTCCTAATGTGCATGGACACAAAGGATAAAACTGAGCTGATTCTACAGGCAAAAAAAAAAAAACCACACAATTCCTGTAGAATCAGCATTTTTAAGCCAGTGTGCATGGAGGTATGTCCTGTTTTTAACAAAGACACAAAACAACACATTCCCTTCAAATGAAATATATTTTACATACTGCTAGCATAAATACATGCACATGCCTTGACACCATCCTCCTGTCACCCCTTGCACAGCAACACACACTGGGAGAGGGAAAGGCAATACTAGTAGATACTCCTCCGGTTCTGCTGCATGCACATGCGTCGACATGGACATGTGGAAAGAAGGAGAGAGCAGAACTTAACAGTGTCTCTTAATTTAAAAAAATGCTGTCATCCTCTGGTCTGTGCTGTCTGGCAGATGTGCATGAATCACAAAAATGGCTGTACAAAATGACATTCTTTGGCAGATAAAATAGTTCCACCATGAAATACCCTGTAGTTCTGGATATGGGGTAGCATGTGACCTCCTTCCAAGGTACAGTGGACTAGTGACTGATCAGTAAGCCCAATCACTGTCACGAGCAAAGGGGATACATCACTGCTCCCTCTAAACTGTGACACCAGTATTTATACCAGATATTTTACATCAACTGCACAAAAGTAATGGTGTATGCACAGTAACATTTCTGGCAGCGCATCGCAGCACAAGTGCTCTGCAGTGCACGCTGTTGGCAAGGTGCAATAGGGTGCCATTCAGAACAAATGACATTGCACTGCACAAAGGCATGTAGCACACACTGCAGTGCATTACTGTAACACAATTGTATGAATGGGCCCAGAAAGCTTGCTTTAAGAAGGTATATGGAGGAACAAACCCACCATCCAATGGAATGCAACCCTAATGCTGACCACAAAGTCAGACCTTCAAATGATGCACAAAATTATGTTTCTCATAACCACTTCTCCATTTCTTTCATTTCACAGATAACTACCATAACATACCATACATGGTAGCTTTAGCTGACCTACTACCTGGGGCAGACTGACCATTTGGAAACTCAGGCACTGCCCAAGGGCCCGGGGTCAGTAGAGGGCCCCATGAGATGCCCCTGGTACCTTTTTCATAGGCTTTTTTGAGTTTGGGCAAGGACACAGGGGCCCCATGATCCCCTATTGCCCGATGGTCCCATGAATTGTCAGTCTGCCCCTGCCTACTACATTAATTTTATGTAACATTTCTGGTAAAAATTTTAAATAATCTCTAAAAAAAACAGAATAGTTGCTCATGCTTTACGAATTTAGATGGCAAACCTTATAAAAGGAAAATTGGTCTAAGTCGCTGCAAAGCAGCTGCAGCATAACACACAAAGCACCACATCTCAGTCTATACCATTATAATATGTATAGTACATGGCTGCTTAGCAGTGAAATTGTATGCAAAAGAAAAAATGGTTTCATAGATCGCATGTAAAAGAAAACACAAGGCAGTAGTCCTGAAGAACCTTTCGCTAATTGACCCATTTCTAGTTTTTGTTTTTTGTCTGTGAAAGAAAGTTTTTCAACCTGTATGTAACAGATTATACA